TTTACATATCAAAACAAAGGAAATTTGTTCCTCTCTTTCATTTTGGCGGTACATTTTCAATTTGCGCTTGCGTAAGAGAGAAATAGCCCAAGACTCCTTGCTCGGTCTTGTTTTGACCACGAACGTCTTCTTAATTTTGACGGATCCGCTCAGGAAAAGGTGAAAATGACGAGGGAAAAACTTTACTTTGTAATACAAAAATACACAAAATGGAAAGCCATGATATCATAGTTCGATATTTCGGTGGTACATTGTTAACTTTTTATACAGAGAGTGGCCAAGATGATATAACATCCAAAAATCGCACTCGATTTGAGTGGGCTGATGAAGTGGGCGTGGTCGTGAAATTCAGTAAGAGACTATTTGTACCCCGTGAGTTTGATATGATCGAGAACCCGAAGACAGTTGCAAAATTTCGTGGTTCATTTAATTTTTTCTGAAGGACCCTTTTAATGAATCTTTTTCGAAATTATATCAAAAACTTCTATGACGCTTTTTTTTTCTCCGTAAAATCGTAAAGTTCAAAACACGCCTAAATAGCCGTTGTTCCCCCCCCCCCTCCCCCCGTAAAGCAACGAAAAATTATGCAACTTCGGTGGCTTTCTACGCCACAACGCGACGCAATCCCGCTATTAAATTTTGTGAGCTAGCGGATAGTCCTACTATCTATTGGAAAAACTAAAGTTCGTGTTATGTTGTTACGTTTAAGTGTAAATAGTGACCCGTTGAAATAAAGTACCTTGAGTCTTTTGCGGAGGTAAAATAAACGTCAACTTCAGTAGCCTATGAACAGGTCTGCCATATAAACTTAAAGTGCACCTAAACCCAAAAATGTTGTTCACTTAACGAAATAAGCGTATTTTTTGGAGTATTTCTGTGCAAAATTTTTTTTATTTCCTCAAATCTTCAATTTTCTCTGCCCAGTCAATACACGGAAAATCGGCCGCCATCTTGGCTCACGTTCGAGTTTAAAGAGAAATGGTTCTAGCGGGTAATGTGACGTCAAATCGAGAACACGAAAATCTGCATTTCACACATTTTCACTTGTTTGGGAAGGTTGTCGTAGATATATTCCGAAATATGCCGATTAGGTGTGTTGTATGAAGAATGCATGAAGCGCGATACCCTCTTGCAAATTTCGCACGTTGCTA